TCTCTATCTCTGTTATTTTCATGTGGTTGCGTTAATTTACACATTGAAATCGTCGCGTAGGTTACTTTTTTCGAACCGGAAGTCGATTCAGGGTACAGTGTCGCTTCTGGAGAACATGCATTTGATATTGAAGAAAACATCCCGGGAATATATCGAGAGCGAGATACTTCCAATGTTGTATACGTCCTTTGAGAACTCGACTATCCAAGTACAGGTACGTATACGTATACGTTTATATACGTATTTCCGTTAGGGAAATCCTAAAGACGCCAGTCTCGTCTTCCTTGATCATCTTGACAGATCAATTGATCGTTCCAAAGTCGTTCCAAAGCCTGAAATTTCGTTTCTTCAAATCGTTGTTGGAACAAATTACAGAAATTACACGAAATTATCTAATTGCTGCATTTCATAATTATTTGAAGATCCTTACATTCTACTTAATTCGGCCGGCCATTCTGTATGTCTATTTTGACGATACAACATTTCGTTAATAAATTTGTTGCCACTGCGGAGAGATTCGTCCTATTCTTCGACAATCAAACGCACGCTCTACATTTTCTTTCCTCAAGAATGACGACTAGTGGCTTCGATAGCTGAGCAATTTTTAATACAGAGATCCTACTAAACTAAACTCCGTAATTCTTTTTTTTTTTTTTTTTTTTTTGTTACATGTTACTTTTTCTTTCTCTCTGCGAACGCTCTGACAGTCAACAGTTGAAAGGAACAATTTTTGAAACACGACGAAAGAAAATGAACTTGAATTTAATTTTTTTTTCTTATTCTTTCTATTTTGATATTTTATGAAACTACGGTTTCGTTCGTCTTCGTTAATTCAAAAATGTACACAGTGCCGTGTAGAGCGCCTAGAAACTCAAGGACAATATTTTGCAAGTTGACATGACCTGTTTCATACTTATGTTCGACAACGTAAATTTCATTCCCTCTCGTCGCGTGGGTGGATGGCTTCTTCTTATCTCTAAAATTCATCGTAGCGACTTTCGTCTTCGATTTCCTCATTGGGCAAATTACTTTTCGCAATTACTTGACGGGCCTAATGATGTTGCCCAGGCCACGTTGCCTGGGCAGTGTTCTCTATGTACAGGGCTAATTAATTTTCTTCGTCAGATGCGTTCTTTCATTCGCGTAATTTTTTTCAGCTTGCCGCGCATCAGTTCGCCATGTCGTTTTCCTTTTCACTCTCGTACATCAGTTCCGCACCTACGACAATGTCGAGATATTCTTCTGACCTGTACGGGTGGCGCTACTGGTTCGTAGAATACATTGATCGATCTCGTTAACCCCGAATAAGTTACTGGATCTGAGACGTACGTCACGAGATTGTGCCATTTATACATAATTTCCTCGAGGTCTGGGTTTATGAACTGTTGTAACCAGAAATCCGGTGCGAACGCGATTAACGTTCTGATGGGGTACCGTAGGCTTGGCATAAGATTCAAGCGGCCCATCTCGATATATGACTTCACTCACTTCACTCACTCCGGCTACTTTCCGGCTCATCCGAGGACTTCTCTCTTCCTTTCGCTTCGAACACTCTCGATAGATGAGCCGTGAAATCTTCGCGAGTACCTTTTCTATTCGTTGGCTCTCGGCTAAATGGCGCTCAGGCGTTCAAACGTTGGTCCTTTTATATTAGACGGTTTGTCACTCTCCCCACGCTCCAACAGATCCACGCTTTGTTTGATCGAATCTCTCGATCATACACACACGATGAGTCGGGACACGATAAATCGCGGAGAACTGTTGCCTACGTGTTTCTATAAAATCTATCGTGTTTGCACGCGATAACTTCTTGCAAACAAGTAGTGCGTGTATTTTGTCTAGACACTTCGTTAGTAATTTGCTCGTTAATTTGCGAAAACAAGTACAAGAAAAACGGAAATTTCGAAAGTATTTGCATGTTTGTGCAAGGAATTTATATAACTTTTTATACTTGGAGAGTTTATTCCAAGTATCATGAACAAGCTAGAAGCTTATTTTCTATACTACTCACTTTTCGTTTCTCTACTGCAGAGAAATTTAGATATATAATATATTAGATATATAATAATAATAATATATAATTTAAATCTATATTTATATAGATCTATATTATATATATATATATTCTATATATCTATATTAATAATCTATATTTTAGAATCTATATTATATATATATTAGATATATAATAATAATAATATATAATTTATAATATGATATTATAATAATATATAATATATTAGATATATATAATTTAGATATATAATATAAAGACTATAATTGCTCTTACGTAAAGAAATAATTTCAATTCACAACTCGGAATATAAATGTTCGATATACAGCGAACAACATCTGTTTACATCCTCGACATTGGACTATTACTATACAACGTATAAGAATGAAAAAAACGTTTAGTTTCTACGCCTCGATAAAATACTTTCTTGACGTTTTCGCTTTTCCTGTATTATTTTCGCATAGAAAATTACTAAAATCAATTCTGGAACGAGCATGTGCGCTCCTACAACGAAGTTTTACAAAATACTGCAAATATATATGTTTTTTTTTTTGACACACTATATACGTCGAAGGACTATCCATCGATCCGTGACTCTGATTTGAATTAATATTCACTTTATTATACAAATCAATCCTAGCGACCTCTACCCGATTCACACAGCTTTGGTTTTATCTGAATACCTAGCATACCGACGATCCAGTTTGAAAAATTTCTCTTATTGTTAGCCGAATACCGACTGAACATGAACGAGTATAACTACTAAAACTTGATTGAACACGCGAAACTGAATTGTCACTAAAAAACTAAAGAAATCGATCCTGGATTAGTTACTAAACCTGAATCATATTTCTTGCTCGTTAAACTTGCGTAAAATCAGAGTGCTCTTACGTAAAGAAAATCGTAGTCAGTTCATTCCAAACGACTCGTTGAGACTCCGAAAGTATGACAGGGGAGTTCCAGGCGAGTTTCTCGTTACCACCTCTCGATTTATGGGGTTGCCAAGGTTGGAAATTTTCTGAGTAGTCTACATCTATATCTGAAGTATACAAACGATGTGTAAAAGTTTTCAATTTGACACGCTGATTGAAATTCAATCCATGTCAATAAATGAATACGTACCGTTATCACTTTGTACATAATGTGTATTTGTATATATAAATTTATTTTACAACGTGCACAATATATTTTATTTTATTTCATAATATACATGATATTTTATAATATACATTTATTTTATAAATTATAAATTTTAAACTATACACAAACATAACATACATAACCTAACCTATAAACATAAACTATAAACTTATATACACATATATATGTAAATTTATTTTATAATATACATTTATTTTATAAACTATACACAAACATAACATAATCTATAAACATAAACTATAAAGTTATATACACAAATATATATAAATTTATTTTATAATATACACAAACTGTATATATAAATATATTTGTAAAATAACCCGCGAATACCGAAAACGAAGAATTGAAGGAGGCTAGGAAGGAAGTAATACGTTTAAAAATTAATTTGTAGACCGCAGCATTCGTAGCTGTGTCGAACGTGACCGAACACATAGACGACGAATCCGTTCGGAATATCGTTCTGCCAAAACTTCTTCAAGCCTTTGAGAAGAATTTGGTGGACTCCCGAATACTCATGAACGTGATCCCTTGTATTTTAAACCGGTTGGAGAAGCAGAAAATCATCGACTGCATCTTACCGTTGTTGTTCAGTGTGAAACTTCAAGAACCGGAGATAATCGTTCGGGTTGTACGTAAGTACACACACGTATATATTGTAACGTTATTTTTTTTTTTTTTTTTTCATGTTACGGTACGTTACACACCGTGTGCACCTTTTTCCCCCCAAGCAAAAATCACTTATGTCACTTATATAATGTTTATATTTCGAATAATGGTAACAGTTTGATTCAGGCCTATACTGATGCCACAACTGATGATAAATTAAATGTTAAGAAATCTAATGCGACAATTACGTTAAATAGACATCCACGCGTTCAGAATTATAAAGTCGCTGTTAGCGCGCAGTGTCGCAATGATTAAGAAACTTTTTTCTCACTTTTCAACAGAACTATCAGATCCCTTGGAAAAGTTTTAACACCGTGATGAGTAGAGTTAGTAAAATGTAACGTAAATGTTAGTGAAATAGACATCCATGCGTTCAGAATCATAAAGTCGCTGTTAGCGCGCAGTGTCACAATGATTAAGGAACTTTTTTCCCATTTTTCAAGAGAACTATCAGACCATCGTAATGAATAGAGTACAACGCAAGAAAAGAAATGTTTTGAAACTCGAGGTCAAGATCAATTTTCAGCAGCAGCATTCTTTACATGTATTTCCGTCAAATCGAAAGTGTAGAATTCATCTATAGTAGCCACGGGCAAACTTTCCTTTCCACCCTGTATGTAACGTAAAAATGCCTATTTTGAAACTTTTATACTTTTAAACACGCGTGAAAAGATCGTCGTTCAATCGTTGTTTGCTAATTTGTCGATACTGGGGCCGGGGTCACGATTCGACTCCAACAGAAATTTACAGATTGATGTTAACCGACAAAAAGTACGGACTTTCCGTCAACTGGATGGCGACTCGAGCGATGCCCTCTTTGCTACCTCACACCATCAACCCAGCGCTGAGTCTCGAACAGTTTGAATTGCTTCTCAAAATATTGCAGGACATGCTGAATCATATCGAAAGGTGATGAAACGTTCGTTACGACGTTTTACATGTAATTTCGCTTACGAAGCTCTAACATCGATGATCGATAACCACTGTCATTTTATTTATTTTTTTTTCCTTTTTCTTCTTTCGTTTCTGTTATCTGTTTGCCTATGTTTTCTTCTTTTTGGGGGTGGGGGTTTTTCTTTGAACAGAAATCAGAGGAATCAGTTGACCTTGGACAATCTGTCATTATCGAGCCCGGAACGATACCGAAATTTACGACACCAACACAGTACGGATAACATGTACGTTGCACCTTTCAACATTCCAAACTTGCGCATCGAGCAACGCAAGACTTCTTCGGCCGAGGACATGGCTCGGAAAAATAGCACAAGTAAGAATAAGCAAGAATCGCGCTTGTTTACGTTAGTATCAGGAATGATTCAAAATCGATTGCCCCTTTTTTTTCGTAGATTCGATTTCGACGACAGTTTCAGCGGAGAACATGACGAGAAAGAACTCGATGATAAGTAAGTTACAGATATACACGCGTAACGTGATACACAGTTGTTGTTTTTGTACTTTGTTAAAAAACAATTTTTTTATCTAATTTTTATCGTTATTCGATCAAATCAGCCATGTTCAAATGGTTCTCATCTTCGAACAACGACAACAGTAATTTCTTGAAAGTGGCGAATACCTTCACGAGTAGACGGCTATCGGACAACACCCTAATGACACCGAAGATACGAATAGCACCGTCTTGCGACAGTTCTCCAGGTGTTACACCTGGCGATGGATTGCCCATACGGCGCCACTCGAGCACCGGACCTCAGGATCGACGAGGATCCAATATAAATTTATCGCCTTTCTTGGTATCGTATATTTGCCACTCCATCTTTATCTCGTTCTTTCTTCTTCGTCGATCATTCGTTGCTTGAAAAAACGAGGGATCGTGTTAACGCTAAACCTAACCTAAATCTAACCTAAACCGTACCGGCATTTCACATATACCTATTCTTACCGTAAAATGGCCGGTTACGAAATAAATGTTTTTTTTGGGGTGGGGGGAGGGGGAGGAATTGTCAATTTATCGTAAGAAATATAATGCACAACTTTTAAATAACAATATGATAACCAATCATACATTTTCATTTTTATATTTATCATAAATATAACAGAACAGAACATAAACAGAAGATCATAGGGGCAGCGTTTGCTACATTCAGAAATAAATGAAGAATATTTTTCTTTTCTTAATTTCACTGCAGACATATTTTTTTACAAATCGTACAAACGATTCCATCGTTTTATCATCTTTGCAAAATCTGACATGTTTTCCGCAAATGCGAACAATTACATTGGTCACTCGATGTTCCTTGTACGTTTCCCTTTTCTTCTTGGAGAAATTCGTGATAGTGTTCGGCAAGCTCTTTTGCTAATTGTAGTAGAAATTGTTGTCTTGATATATTTTGATTTTTCTCGATAGGGTACAGGAATGCCAGTTACCAGCAGTAGCGTGCCATACTTGGTTAGCTCGAGCATGAATAGCATACGAGGCTCGAGGCGTCCATCCGTCTCTTCAACGTCCTCCCAGCAAGGGACTGGATTGCTGCAGCAGGTTGGCTCCAGCATGGTAAGACAACAACCCTCCATCTGCCTCAACCTCAATGGACTACCACCACCATCACCACCACCACCACAACCACCACCACCAAAACTTTCTCCATTACTCCAGCTACCGGGACAGTCTTTCCACTGATCCTTCGTTACAGCGTAAGGATATTCACTAGCTTATCCGAAGACGAAAGAAGAAAAGAAAAGAAGGAAGAAAACGAAAAAAGGAAACAAACGTGGCCGTAGCTTTCCTTTCCCTTGGCAAATCGCGAATCCGGAATATACTGCCGTCTTTTCTTCCCTTTAGAGAGAAAAGAAACGAAGAAAGACGAGGAGGAAATATAGAAGAGGAAAGCACACAGACGTGTTTTGGATTCTCGTCTCCTGCGAGATTAAGTTCAGATGAAGTTTCGAACATCGCGCCTATAGCAAAGGGACGCTTTTTGTATCCTACCTTTGTCCCTCGGATTCTCTCTTTCTTTCTTTCGCTCTCTCGCTCGCCCGGTGTTACATTTCTTCCTAATTGCCTGCTGATCTACTTCGAGACATGCATGTAGTTTATCCAATCTACCTAGAGTGGGCCAGAAATCACTTCCTACTACGGTAAATCTGTAA